AGGACTGGAGATAGGGCTTGGAATTGGAGGACTGGGTGGTGATGGGAGTTGCAGGTGCAGCCACACTGGCTGCTTCTCTCTGCAGGCACAGCTTGGAGCTGAATCTCTGTCGTTTCTGAAGATCATAGCATCCAAACAAGTGGAGCCAAAAAGTGGAGGGTTTAGACCCAATGATGCATAATAGCCAGCATGTGGGTACGGCCTACACGAGCATTCCAAACTCTTTGGATACAAATGTTACATTGCAGCCACCAAATATTGCATTCCACATTCTTAAAAGTTTGATTTTAAAAAAATGTACGTGCGTGTGCCAGCAAATCTCATGCTAAAAATGCCTTATCTCATCATCTTCTCCAGCTATGAGCTACAGAGCTAGCAGCTAGCATATTGCTTCTCCGCCTTTGCATGACGACCTGCTCGCAGGACCCACTGCGAGCTCGCACCAAAGCGCGCCGCCGGAGCGCCGAGCCCTGCTGAGCGCTGGCCTGGCTGAAGCCTAAGAAGCTCCGGTGCACCGTGCTCCCCAGCGCCTGTGGTCTGAGACCGACTTCCACCGTGATCAGACTGGTCCGAGACGGGACGAGGAAACCTTCCGGCCGGATCTTCCACGAGGGATGAGGATGGTTTTCCCAAAGTGATCTGGGCTCGGCTGGGTTTTCCTCGTACGAAGTAAGAAGCCCTTGTTGAGGTCAAAAGAGTTCGCCAAAAGACTTGTGCTTTTGGACTGAACGCACAGTCTACTGACTTATTCGTCTAGGTCCAAGACCCTACTCGGAAGAGATACGACCTGCCAAATCTCTGCTAAAGATTGAGCCAAACCCCGCGTCGTGTTTACAAGGCTTTTAAGAGGTAGGTGCGGGTCACAATGGGGTCACGATGGACAACCAGGCTGCTGAACCTGGTGAAGCTAAATTGAGATGGGTTTATCTGGAACACTGAGGGTTTGAACATGTTTGAAGGCCTTCTCTTCCCCAAATTGCGCCTCTTCCTGACCCTCCTCAAAGTCCAAGCCATAGGGAACGGCCCCCGAACCTGAGTTCGGCAGGACCCCGCTTCGCTTCGACTCCCTGCGCCCAAGGGAGCCGATTCGGGGGAAGGGAGCGTAGACCAGCGTATGTTTCAGCAGGATAGTTTCCTAAAAGAGAACCCCAACAGTAAACTGTTGGGGGAAAAAGGGGCGAGTAGGTTGGAGGCCATCGCTCTTAGTAGTAGGTTGGAGGCCATCGCTAGTAGGACACATAAAAGTGTATGGTTTCCTTCGTTTAACGGGCTTTCTTGATGAAGTTCTCCGACGGCGCAGGCACATCCGAGTCGCCGTTCTGCTTGGGCTTCGCAGGTGCCGCACCGGCCTCGGACGCGAGAAAATCCTCTAAAACATCTGCCTTTTCTCCGCACTGATGATGCACACGGCAGGTGGTACAGCCTCTGGTTTTATACGGGACAGATGACATCAATGTGCCAAGGATAGGTCCGAACTGGTCCTGAAAAGGAGGCCCGTACAGTTGTCTTGAGAGAGCAATTTGATCTGTGAGCTGGGTTTCCTGCCCGAGAACAAACATCTAAAGACACTCATCTCGTCATCCACAAGGGATTCCTTCCACATCTTCCACCTCTCCATCTCTTCACTGATTCTGCCAGCACCAGGCACTTCCCACCTTTGAATGCCGGTGAAAACCCGCGCATGGTCTGGGTCCCCCACCCATTTTCGGAAGAGGACAGGTGGCATCACCCTGGTGGTGCGGAGGGCGGATCTTCGGGTTGAAATGGATAGCTCCGTGCGCGCACGTGCAATGAGGCTCACGTATATACCCCATGCACATGCATCTCAAAGAGCATATCCTCCCACGTGCAGTGCACACACTTTCCCAGAGGCAAATATATCCATCCATATCCATCCCTTGTCGTCCTGCAAAGGTGTTGAAATGTGGAGAAAATCAACTACTCATACCTACTCACGTACCCCAGAACTGCTTCCATGCTTCCAAAACAACCCTACATTCCTATGAAAGTGCACCAGTGAGTGAACGAAACCCCAAACTCCACCGATCCACGCTTGTGATACAAAAAACAACATGCATCCTTGTCCAAAGTCATGTCTTTCAAGTGGAAGGCCTGGGAGGGCCATGAGGCGGGTGCTTTTCGAGCCCAAAAAGCAGCATGGGCGGCGCGCTTCGAGAGGACCCGGTCGACTCGCGATCCGCGGGGATCGCGACCCGCGGGGACCTCGAACCGAAGGGTGGCGAAGCCGGTTTAGGCTTGGTCGAGGTGATTTGGTGGGGGTTCGGTCGAGGTTTCTGCTCCAATTCAAGTTTGACCTCAACAGCTGTTGGCATCGGAGGTGCAGTTCTTGGATGGAATTTTCGAAAAAAGGACCAAGGATTTGTACGCATGGGGAGTGGTGTATCTTTGCTCGTCCTCGAAACCAGTGGTTTTCTGCTTGCGAAACTCGTCCTCGAAACCGGTTCTGTTTCAGTCCTTTTGAGTCACAACGAGACAAATGTTCCTGTCGATAGAAGTTCGTAAAATCCCATAGAAAATGCATTGGACACCGTCCCACCGTCTATTTGGGGACCGCTTTTCGGTGCTCATCGCGAAAAGGTGGGTGGGAGGTTTCGTTGACTTCCACCATCGGGCAGGGACCATGAATCGCTGTGGGAATGCTCCAGCCTTGATGTCCGACAGGCACTCGAAGACATAGAAAGTGATGTCGGGGAAGAAGTTGGGTGGTTCCATTTGACAAGCCTTGAGGCGACCAAACTTCGAGGCATTCAACGCCGCGACACAAAAACACACCGGTCGACTCGTTTCTCCCTTACATGAGGCGAACGGAATCCAGCGCTGACACATATGCTGAAACCGTCCTTTTCTGCAACCAGGACCAAGCGAGCATAGGAAGAACTGGTGCCGTCCTGCCTTGGGCATGCCATCCCGGAGAACGTAGTCGTCCTCCGAAACCGATGCAACGGAGCGGGTAGGGGGGAAGCACTGCAGGCCGTGGTGCGAATCCAAAGGAACTGAACTGCATCCATCCAGGATCTGTTACTAGTAAGAATGCTCCGTTCGCTACGCGATGCCAGGAGCCCCGTTCGTAGCGTCCGAACGCTCCTAAGCAGCAAGGCCAGGAGCCCCGTTCGTAGCTTCTTGTTCCTATTACTTGGAAAAGAGAACATTCCAACCGTTCCTGCTTGGCGAGGGATCGAAACGAGTGACCTTTTGACTTGGCAAACATACACACCATAGAGCAGTCATCCCCAAATCCAGCAACAAGTAGCGGAACAGAGGTCATGCATAGAAACAAGAGCTTTTTCCGGATTTGCCACAGCGTAATTAGAAGGTGGTTGTTGGAGGGGTTACCCTTTGAAAAACCCAAGACTGTTTCAAGAACACCACAACAAGGGGAAATGCTGAGTGATGCGAATTCATTTCTCGTAGCCCAGGGTCCACCACCTTCCAGTCACGTGGTTGGTCTTGCCAAACCCCATCCCAGGTGAAACGAGACCCTCTCCTTGGTTGATGCAGCCAATTCCTGCAGATGAGGCCATTTCCGCGACTTTGCTGCCCAGATGTTAGGTCCAAACACATGAGCCAAAAGCAAACACGTGTGACTCAACCCGAGGCTTTCGCATCGCTTTCTTACGCTGCTGCTTACGCTTTTCTTACCATTACTTGGTTCATCTTGGGGAAACAACGTGTTTGACTTGCGGTGCGAAAACCTGTTGCACCTGCGCGACGAAACGTCCACGTGGACCCGGGCACACATGACGTGAACGTCCGTGAGCCGAATGCCACCTCCATCTTCGTCTCAGCTCCAAGCAGTTTTTGAAAAAGATGACCTCCATACTAAAAGCATTGGCTTCCAACCTAAGAGTGATGGCCTCCACCCTAGTAAAGAACCTCATCAACAGGATCTAGACGCCATGGAGATCCCCCCGCCCTTCAGCCCTTCTCCTTGGCAACGTAGTGCAGAAGGTTCATCTTGCCGCTGACGGTCACATCCTCCAAGAGCCGGAAGCAAATCCAGCTTGGTGAAGCAAAGGGCCCCCAAACCTAGGGATGAAGTAGTGATTAAACCTAGGGATGATCACAGATCTCTGAAAATCCCCTTTGAAATGGAAAAAACAGCAGGACCAACAGCAAAATGATCGATATTGGGGTCAGTTGAAAGTTGAAACAAAAACAGCTCCGCGGACAGCGACAGCTTCCTGAACCAAAGCGAGACATGTAGCGCTCCAACCGCTCCCACCCGTTTGTGTGCCCGTCCTCCAACTCTGCGACCGCCAGCAATGGAAGCAGCAAAAGGAACTTTGCCCTGGCCACTTGGGCCGATTTCCAGGCGACCAAAAACGACGATGATTCTGTTGGGACATCGGTTTGGCGGGTGACACCAGACCAGAAGCTGACATTGGTTTGGAAGAGGTCTGTAAGAGGACCGGAAGTTTCATCACTTCCTCAGTCGACGCAATCGAACTCCTCCTCTTGCATGTGTGGACCTTACCATCTGAGGTCTTCCATGAGGATCTGAGGTTCAGTTCATTAAGAGCTCCCTTATACTCTATACTAATACGATGTGATTCCAAGAACTCCTTTTTGGGTCAAGCAACTGTCCAGTTCACATGGGTCCTGTCAGGACAAGCACGTCCTTTCCGGCCTCATGGTGCGCGTGTGTTTCGGCGCACACTGCCCCCGAGCCGATTGATGTGCTTGGGCCTAAAGCCAGCAACATGGATCCAAGTAACAGGCGTTTATAGCGGAGAGTCGTCATGTCGCTGGGAACGTCACCACCATGAGCTCTTATGGGCCATTCAACCTCATGAAGGAGTCAGCAAAGCTGAGGTTCTTCTGAGTTTTGGCTGATCTTCTGAGTCTTCTGAGCTTCTTCCCAACTCTGGACATCTGGCCAAATGTTTCCTACTGGTGGGCCTACCGTTGCCATGTCGATGTCGGTGCGTCGGCGTGCACTCCAAACCCGATGTCGGACAGCAGCTCCATGTGGTCCTTTTCCACTCCGCAGCCACCAAACCTCGTGCATTCTTCTGGTGCACGTTACACCAGAGCGACTTACTTACAGGGTCGATGTCCTTTCGGCATCCACGCTTTCGGTCTCCGTCTTCCTTTCGTCTGCGCAGACGGCGACATGGAGGTCGCCGCCTTCGCCTCTGCCTGGGGTCGGAGTCGTCTCAGTCGTCCTCGGTCGCCTCAGCGCTTGGTCGTCCTCTCACTGTCGTGCTCCAACTCCTCAAAACGCGCGCGGGGCTCCACGGTGTCTCGCTTGAGACCCGATGGCTTTGGGGTTCCCGTGATCTACACGTTCGAAGTGTTTCTCCAAAAATTGATAGCTTCTTTCCTCTGTCTACAAAAGCAAACCAGACAGCGCTTCCACTTTTGCAGGCAAGCAGCCTTCCATTCCAGGTCTTGCCAGCCTTGTGGAACTCCATCCTGGACACTAGATGATGCCACTCTTTCTTTTACTCTCTCACTCCCTCTCTATTTCTCTCTCAATCAACAAGACTCATAAGATTTAGATGCACCATCATTCACTTCTCAACAAAAACAATATCAATCCAGGCTGCATCATGAAAAACGCCCGTGGCTTCTCCACCAAAAAATGAGACTTCTTTGGGCTCCTAAGCAGGACTTAAAATGAACCCAACCTGCAAACACCCAGAAAAGATCAGAATTGCCCATGCTCTCCATTACAAGCCTCTGACATCTCAGGGATCTCTCCATCCTCGTTCTCAATGTCAAGAAACACTGACACCTCTGAGTCAAACTTCAACATCTCCTGCTGCGATGAAGGTCTTTGTCTAGACGCCAATGCGCAGGGTGGGGAGGGAAGTGAGAAGTGGCAAGCAACGAAAAGGTACTATGTTTCTGGATGCAAAAGAAACAGGGCTCGATCTCGGAATCAGGAGCCTAGTACAAACAACACAACAGGGAAGCTCCATAGCTTCTGCAAACTTCAGCATAGTCGCAAAGCTCTTCATCTTCAACCTTACCAATCCGGAGAGACATCTCCGGCAGACATGTCTTCCTTCCGCGACCTCTCCGCGACCTCTCCGCTCAACCACTCCACTCGACCTCTCCGCTCGACCTCTGAATCGTCGCCATAGACGTCGCCGATGTTCTGTCGGCAGCTGTCCGCGCAGAAACCGCCCAAGGCGTCTTCGTCCGCCGAATCCTCAAGACCGGCCAGAAGAAAACCCGTGCAATGGCCTCCAACCTAGTAGCTTCTTGTTACTAGTATTGGCCTCCAACCAACTAGCGATGGCCTCCAACCTAAAAGCAATGGCCTCCAACCTAATAGCGATGGCTTCTGTTTGGAAAGCATCCACTAAGAGTCTTTTCAATGTTTGTTTTTGGACATCTAAAGACCTGAGACAACCAAAGACGGTTTTTGCAGTGCCGAGAGACGACTCCAAAGAAAGGCGCCTGCGCACAAAGAAACCTCAGAGGAAAGTTCAAACCACTCAGACCGTTCAAACAGGAAATTGCGAGGAGGTCTTGCACTACGACACAAGAAATCATCCTCACTGTTTGTGGTAAAAGAAAGTTATTCCGCCCACAGTAGGAACATTGTTACCGCTTCAATTGAATCTATTCGAGGTGCTCTCACTCCCAAAGATCTTTGGCGGTTCTCATTTGCCAAAGGGACGTCTTCACCCTGCAGAAGTCAGGACGATCGTCGTAGATCTTGCAGGTGCGGCTCTCGTGGTCAAAGTGTTTGCACCAGCCGTCTTCCTCCGAGATCGAACGAACGGTGCAGATCGAACGGTGCCGGGAGGAGCAAGTGCCATGTGTGGGGGGGACGCCATTTTGGATATCTCGGCGTTCCAATCGGAGCGTGTTGGCGGAACCCCACGCGCTGCGGAGGCTTAAGTGGACTTTTCACTGTTGGAGGTGGCGAGGGCTTCACAGCGTTTGGGCGGGGGACCTAGGCAAGGCTCTAGTGAATGGTGCTGACCTGTCTACAAGGGACTGGACATGACTGGACCTCTAGTGGCTCGAAATGCTAACCACAATGATATATACGGTGAAAATGTGGCAAGGCAACTCGTCAACGGAAAAATCCCGGAGTCGACATGGTCACTTCATCTTCCAAGCATCTCTTGGAAGACTTCGGAACGTCCTTGGCGCGTGCACCGTGTTCCATGTTCTGCGCAACCGCTGACCAAGGTCACAGCTCTGGGGTCTGCGGCCGTTTGAGCGGACTGAACCGCAAATTAGTATGTCTTGACCGTTGGATGAGAGTCATGAAGGTTGATTGTATTATATATACTTTTGTATGGCTTCTTCCAACTGGTTAAAACCTTGAAAAAACATGATATCACATTCGCTGACCAGTGGTGCCGTTCCTTTAAATGGCCAATAGGGTCGAGAGCAGGGTGGAGGTTTTATGACATCTATGCTAGTTCTGGGGGAATGTCCTGCTCATGTCCATCCTGATGTTCTCGTGGTTTGCCCGGAGGTGGCACACCCGAGACGCAGACGAACCCAACACGCCCGAGACATGAAAAAACGAACAACCTGAAGAGATAAAACATGACCTGCCGGATGCTTAGATGTTCAGGCAAAAAGGGCAGACAAGATAAAACACACCTATTAGCCTATCAAGATGATTCACCAATCCTCGCCCTTCCATCTATTTGGTCAATAGGTGCTGGGAGGCAAATGCATCATCCCAATCACCCCAAAAACCATCAAAAAGCCGTTTCTGGGAGGCCATTGCTGTTAGGGTGGAGGCCATCGCTAGTAGGTTGGAAAAAACCGTTTCCGGGTTCAGCGCATCTTCAGCATGCCCAGCATCTTCAGCTGCTCCTCGCTGAGAAGTTCCTTTAGGAATGGACGGTCCTGGCTGAGCAGTTCGTGTGGGTCATGGCACCTGGACATCACCTGCCCACCTTGACCCGGGTCACATGAACAGATTCCTCTTTGGAATGTCAACCTTTCAGGGTTTTGTGGAGCTCTTGACCTCCATGGTGATGTTGGATCCCAGCTTTCAGTGTCTTTCTCTGGAGCACCCTCGACCGGAACGACCCAGAAACTTTCAAGAACACAGCTCGTGCGGGACCAATCTGACATGTCATTCATAGTCACATTGTTCTTACCTTAACGAGTCCAAGCGTCAACCCGAAACCAACATCCAGGTATTAAAGAAGAGAAAACATCCGCTTGTGGGTTCAAAGCCTTTAAAACCAAAAAAAAAACAAGGAAAAAAAGAAACATCCCCTCTTCGGGCACTTGGCTCTCACCCTTTCTCACCTTCCACCCCTTTCGGGTGTCAGCTCCGTCCTCAGTGCCCAGCATGCAACACGCGCCGCATCCACTCACGCACTTCCAGCCCGCCGGCTCCCTGGCGCCGTTCGACCGAGCTGATTCGTGCCTCGATGAAGTCCTCATGCCGAACGGTGGTCGATTCACCGCGCCGGGACGTCCCGAAAGTCCTGAGATCTCAACATTTCGTCCCTTGTGGTCCTTTTTCAAGGCCCTGGTGGACAGGACCCATTTTCCAGAAGGTGAGGCCCAATGCAGTCGATGCTTGGTTCGAAAATAATTCTACATCACCAGCAAAAAAAAATCAAGCCATACTCAAGCTCCCAGAAACCTACAGCAAATGGGCGCAGCCCTTCTTCCGCAATTGTGCCACTCCGAATCCACCCAAAAATCGCACCTGGCGTTCACAGCAGACATCCTGAAGTTTGAAGTTTTTGCAACCCAAAACATGCCAAAACGCCAGGCATAAAATGTTTGAGTGTGCGTGTGCTTGTGTGCCATCTGCACTCTAGCTTGTGTTTAGCGTCTTCGGAAGGACTAAAATTAACATAAATTAACCAATATATCTCGGCGTGTCCTCACTCTGCATCGAAGCCAACAGGGAGAACCAACCTCAAATCATTCACTGTGATGCCCCCCGCATGACTTGCACTCTGCGAGCACAAATGCCATCCCTTTTTGGTCAACAGCTGCTCTGCACTTTGCTTTATGAACAAAAACCTGACAGTCAGCAACGGTTAGCAACTCAGCGAAATGCCAAACAACACAAAAATTCTTCGCTGCAGCATTTCTACGACAAACTTCAACTCCACTGAGGCTTCAACCCAAAGAAGCGCCACCAGACACGCGCTCCCTCGTAGCCACCGCTGCCGCTGGCGAGATCGTCCCATTTGGCCACCGGCCCCGCCCGGACCCACTCCGCGGGACGGCCACCGCGGGCAACCGCACCGGTCGGTGGAATCCTGCGATGCCCGGATTGCGTCCTAGTAGCGTCCTAGTAGCGTCCTAGTAGCGTCCTCTTTCACTTAGATGTTCCGATCACAAATCATGTTTTCGGTGATGCACGGAGCTCGCATCAAACGGCGCTGCGAGCTCTGGAGCTCGCCGTCGCCAGAGCATTGAATGTGCGTTGCTGGTTGATTTGAAAAGTGTTGAAGCGTCAACACGTCATCCAAACCTGAAAATCCTCATGGACCTCCGGTACAATGAGGCTCACTCTGAAAACACTCAACTCATCAAAATTGTGTTGTCCCTCTCTCTCTCTCTCTGGATATGTGTGGCCTTATTGTGTCGATGTCGGTGCACATTTTGCCATGCTTCACAGGCATTCAAAAGCCTTACGCAGGCACAAGCGGTTGCCACGAGCACGTAAAGGCGACATCTCTCAGGAAGAAAAATATTGACTTGACCTGTTGCAATCATGTTAAATGTCACAAGTCCGAGGTTAAAGAAGCCACATCCAACCCCAAACAGCTTGCCCGCAAAGAAAACATGAAGTACGACATGTCTTTGATGCACTGCAAAAGCTATCCATGTGAAAACAATGGGTGAACACTCGCTCAACCAGGCTTTCATTGAAGCCATTGAGATGCCAAATGGCATGCCCTTGAATTTCAGGGCAGGTTACAGAAACCGTCAGGAGGCCCTTGGGTTTTCAGGGTGCCTTGGGTTCCTTTGGCTGGCGGTGTCACCACTCAAGTGAAGTTGTGGGCAAAAGTGCCCCTGTCTCCACCTAGGCAGACATGGATATTAGCCCGCGTTAATTGCTACACAAAGGCCGGACACTGTTCAGCCGAATTCCTTCTTGAACTGTCAGTCATCCTCCAAAATCGGATCCCTGTGCTGGATCAACAGTTCACAAGCAGAACGGACTTGCAGAATTGCTTGTCTCGCATCACTGGGCGTGTTAGCCGAAGCAAACTGCTGCAGAAGAATCTCTATTACTGCAAGAGGAGATGTCTGAAGAAGAACTGTTTCACTCTCTTCCTGGCCGCACTCCCTCAAGAAGTCATCACAAAGCCTCTTCAAACCGCTGATGTATCTCATTCCGTTGCACCCTCTAACCCCGGTCTGGTCAAAGTCTCTTGCTTTCGCACAAATCAAATTTGCATATTTCGAAGCAAGCGCATCAACCACGTGAGATGAAGGTGAAGCAGCAGGAAATCGGTCAACCCGTGGCACATCTAGGTCTGCGAGAACAAAACTCATGTATGTGTACCACTTACCCAATTCCCTGGCCTTCTGTTGCTCAGGGTGCAGATCCTGAAAGCTCTGCACGCACGCAGGAGACATGTGATAGTACACGCAATCATGCGCAATGGCAAAGAGTTCTGGCCCCTCTTTGCCAACCACCAAGAAGTAGCGAGCTGCTTCGACGTCGCATTGAGTTTCTAGAGAGGCGCCCGAGCGTTGGCCTTTCTTCGTGGCGTGCTGTTTGAGCCAGCCCCAAGTCGTTTCAACACCATGGGCCATGACATGTTTTTGGGCCCAGGAGGTATATGAAAAGCGGGCTAGGCTCCAAACACCTTGCAAAGGCTCCAGCGGCAGAGCAAGCTTTAATTTGTCAACCTCATCCATTGCTTGCCCACGCCAGTCATTGTAGCTGATCGCTCTGTCCAAGTCCAATGTAGTCTGAGGGGTCTTCTCCGCGTGGCGTCGCCGGCGTCCTTTGTTTGGGGCTCGCGTCGACCAATTTTGTCGTCGTCTCATGCAAATGCGACATCTCTCCGTGTGGTTGCATGATTGCCTGTGACACATCTGGCAACCAGCCTTACATTCTCTCCAGTCTGCGTCTCGCTCCTGGTCGAAATCAGCGTGCATGGAATGGCACGGTCCAGGACATGCATCCCTATCAGTGCACAGGAATTTCAACCTTAGCCCTTCTGCCATTGAGTCTACATGCTATTGCTCAAGGCTTGGTCAAGGTGGCCACAGCATCAGCCCAAGGTGCATCCTGAAGGTCTGGACTAGAGGCAGGCACGGAAACTGCAAACGACTTCACAAAAACATATCCTTTCTTCTCAATGGATGCTGGGTTACGTCTTGCCATGAAAATTGGAGAAATGATTAAAAGCTGCGCCTTTGGATTGTACAGCATGCCCTTGAAGTGTCAGGGCAAGGCTGCACCAGCGCAGGGTTCTGCAAGTGAGGCAAACACTGTGCAGGCCTAATGCAAGACAATGAATTAAGATCATCTTAAGACCCTGTGTAGGCCTAATGAATTACGAGAAGATGTAGCCAGCAGGTGCCAAAAAGAAGGCCCGGATGAGAGCAATCATCATTTGATCGTTCCCTCTAAAACGGTCTTCGATACACTCTGCCAAGCTAGAAGGTTGACAAAAGCCGACTCGGCCATTCAGACCCTCGGATGGAAAAAGGTCAGATTCTATAGCTCACTTCACTTGACTCTACCCAGCAGAGTCGCCAAAGCATCTTCGGATTGCAGTTCATTGAGCGACACCTGCAGGTACGGGGCGCTACATCTTGAATAATCTCAATCCTTGAGTTGTGACTAGTGGGTTGGAGGCCATCGTGCTTCTAGGTTAGAGGCCATCGCTAGTAGGTTGGAGGCCATCACTATCAGGCCAGTAGGTTGGAGGCCATCACTAGTAGGCTGGCTGGAGGCCGTCGCTAGTAGGTTGGAGGCCATCGCTAGTAGGTTGGAGTCGGTTTGGAGGCCATCGCAAGTATAGTTTGGAGGCCATTGCTAGAGCTTGGAGGCCATCGCAAGTAATCACTAGTAGGTTGGAGGCCATCGTTCTTAGGTGCAAGCACAGAAAGCTCTTTGTTGTTTTGCACCTATACGGCGTCTCAATGACTCTTAGGGTCCCGCTCCACTCCCAGTCGCCGCGCCTCCACACCCATGGGCTTCAACTGGGACTGGATCTCGATGGCGAGCTGGCTGTCCACACCCTGAAACACCAAGGGACGTTGAACTTCGAGTTTCTTTCCGGTGATCTTCTCAAGTTTCTCCTGACACATTGGAAAAACATGGGGGCAAGTGGTTCACGCGCCCACTGGCCAAACCAGAAAAACAAAGATGACCAGGGGTCTAAACACAGGCTCGACAGCACTCGGCGCTGTAACTTCTATGAGGCAAGTGGCCAACACCTGCCGGGGCAGTGAAGTTCCGTCGGATTTGCCGGCATCCTTTCTCTCCTCCTGCTTCGAAGAAGGCGGAAGCGCCTTCCAAACAGGGGAACATCACTGAGTCCGCACAAAGAAAACGGTGTTTGTTCCATCACCTATCGTTGCAATGACTAAGAAGCTTCCTGTTGCCCAACCCGCCTCCACCTTCGGGTCCGCCACTGCATCTTGCGGGTGTTCCTCCGGCGTCAATGTGGTAGAAGGCGCCTGGGCCACTTCTCCCTGGAAGCGGTTCATGATGGTGTGGAAGCGGGAGGCCACCACGGGGTTTGACGCCAACGGCAGAGACGGGAGCTTTTGACGGTCAAAGGTGGCCACCGTCACGATGGGCAAACTCGAGCAAAGGACCGTCTGCAGCATTTGGCGGATTGATTCCTCAAAATGTGTTTCTTAAAGCGATGGCCTCCAACCTGCTAGCGATGGCTCCACTAGCAAACTATACTAGACCTTGCTTCCTTTAGATTCCTCAAAATTCACAAGCTTTGGGGGTTCGGAAGACCGCGCTGGGGGACGGAGACAGGTCTATAAGAGCTAAGAGAGTGGTGCGCAAAATCGGAGCTAGTTATGTGCTTCAAGTGCGTGCCTGATGTTTTGCCAAGCTTCAGGGTTGATGGCTGGAAAGCCACGGGTCATCTCCAGCTGTCTTTCCAGCTCTGGCTTGTCATGCATGACTCCCACCTCATCGACACGTGTTTCTAGGGTCTCTTCTCCAATCAACGTGAAGATACAAACAAATGCTTCAGACAACAAGATCCTGCAATAAGACATTCTCGAAACACTCTGACAACATGCTATCAGACACACAGCGTTACGCTGCCAAAAGTTGCAAACACCTTCATCAGAACAAGAAAGCACTGCTCATGGTCTTCTGAGGCCTTAACCCCTTGGAGCACAGTGAAATTGATCACCTGGTACTGGCATGTCCCGGAGCTGCAAAGAGATTGCCAACAGCCCAGATCAGCTTGAAAACCATTGGCTCCTGGCAACAAAGATCTTGTAAAACATCTGTTCCTGACCTTCCCGAGCTTCTGAGCTGGATAAACGGAAACTCAAGACTCAAGGTCAGGGGTTTTGCAAGGGCACAGGGTAGACTCCCAATCAAGCATGCTCAAGTCCAAAACGTCCTGCATAGGCGCACTGGCCCAAATTGCCTAAAGAGACCACCACACTGCTCAGGTAGCAAACATAATCCAGCTCCCACTTGGCCTCCTGCGCTGTGGCAAGGAGAGCCAAACTGCCGAGCACTTTGGGTTTCATCGTCGCCTCAAAGGCCTCCTCCGAAACGCCTTTGAAGAGCTTGTCTCCGTCAAAGGACGCAGCTCCGTGAAAGAGTCCACGGACGGGTTGCCTCACTCCTGCTTGCTCCAGAGCTTTTGGAATGCTGCCGACACAACTGATGTCGCATTGCACGGCCAAAACCCGAGTGTTCCTAAAGGTCTTGCGGAAGTTCGAGAACGTTTCATCCTCTTTGTTTCTGCCGACCACCACTACGGTGCCCGCACCCATCTGCGCCAAGGTCTCGACCACCAAAGCGGAGAGGCCATGTCTTCGAGCCCCGCCAATCACGATGTAGGCTGCATCTCTCTTGAGCGCCGTTAAACTCAAGGAGTCGAAGCTCAAAGGCTGGCGAATCAATTCCAAGCGATTCGCCCTGCCCTCCTGGCTGAAGAAAGAAATGCTTCGATACACATGGTGCATCCGAGCCGCGAACGCTCCGGCGAAGCATCAAAAGAAGACAAAATACTGGGTGGAAAGCCGCATCGAACGAATAGACAACGATATACCAACGGCGACAAAGTGAAGAAAGGGAAGCCCTGAGCCTGGCTGTCCTGAATCATGATCTCTGAACAGTCCTGGCGAGGAGATCGGATCTCAAGGCCCAGCTGCAGGACACTGGCGTCGCTGAGGTCTGCCATCTCAATCACGCGAAGCATTCCCCTGGCTGGCACCTCTTCCTTGACCAGGCACTTCACCATGGCAATGAACATGCCTAGCAAGCCAGAAAAGTTGGGGAAGCGAAAAAAGCTGCACCACAGAGACATGGACGACTTGCTTGGAAACGTCCACTTCCAAAAAGAAACAAAACACAGTCTCTCCAGGTCCCTCTCCCCCCCAGTCGCAGTCCTGATCCTGGCATCGAACTCTTCGAAGGCTTCGAAGGCGCCAGTTGCGGCGACTCTCGGGTGATGACAATGATCTGCGCGCCCTTCCGGCTTAAAGCCCATTTCACCTCACAGTTCTGAAGCACAGTTCTGGAACAAGAAAGGATCTATTGAAAGAACGGAAAAGGCTTGTGAAGTTGTGAAGAGAGGAAGCCGGAAGTGAAAGGCTTCTGACACAACCACTTCTTTCACCCCCAAATCATGTGGTTTCCTCACAGGGAACGGACTTGAGAATGAATTACATGGTTGATGCTTTGAAGGCTTGCAAGCAGTTCGTGGAAGACGCCGCCAACAACTACATGCGGCGGTACTCGATGCACATTGGGCCTTCAGAAAAATTACTGGACCATATCGCCAGCTCAATGCACTGGAACATGTCAATGCAGAGTGAATGCATTCCAGTGCCTGGCGGGCCTCCCGAAAACCGACTTTGCTTGCGCTGGCAAGGCACCACTTCTCGGAATCGACGGACAGCTTGGCGCAGGCCTTCATCCACGCGGGGCACAGATTGCCTTGTGAGGCTTTCCAGCTCCTTGTCATCAATGCCCTGGGTCCATTCATACAGGATGGTACACGCCCCTTCCTTATTGTCCGCCAAGGCAACACTGCAAGCCTTGCCCTTCTCCTCTGGTCCAATCATCCTGCTTTTGCTGAGGCCTGGAAGCTGGTTCTTCTCAAGAAGCTGCGTGACTGGAGATGATTCCCAGGCTGAAATGAAGGCAAACATGTCAGCTCCTGTTGCATCTGCCACATCATCATGAGGCAAGGGACTAGGTGCAATTTGCCACAGCAGCTCGTGAATCGGCTGCGCAGACGAAGACAAAAGCTTACCCCAAACATGGTGCACCTCCGCCACTGCAGAGCCATCCGGAGCGAAGAGCGCGAAGCTGGCACAAATCGCTGAGCAAAAATGCGGCTTTACCTCGACGATCAAATCCAACTTCTCCGCGTTGCGCCACCAGTCCTGAGAGAACACCACCAACTTCTCAAGCATCGAAGGAAGAGCACCTTCACGAGCCAAGTTGGGCTCGTACACCTCGAGCCTCAAGGGACTTTCTTCACAGGTGCACGGCTATACTCCATCGCACTTCCCAAAACAATCATCATGCATTGTTTGTTGAGCATGGTTGGAACAACCCTATATGTCACTAATTATGTCGAAGGCTCTTTACTAAAGAAAGCTTTTTGCGCATCCCAAACACGTCCCGACGGCTTTCGACTCTTCGAACTTCTCCTGTGCAAGCAGAGGCCTAGAGCCACTTGGAACGCTTGATCCAAGATCGCGGCTCCGCCACTGCCGCCAGAGCGCAAAGCGTGGCAGGTGACCTCGCAAAAGCCCAAGCAGGAAGCCTTCGGGCCCTTGTCCTTGATGCGAAGATCGCCAGCAACCTTCAGGTCAGGGCCATAGGTCAAGCCACCCTTGCCAAGGAGATTCACGATGCTTGAAAGAGGCAACGTTTTCGTCCCACCAAACCATTGTCCAAGGCGGCTTCCCTGACAGTCTTTCAAGTCGCGTAGGCGATGAGACCAGTCAGGGTTGGGGCTGTCGGTTTCTCTGCCAAAGCCTTTGTCGTTCGCTTCGAACCACTCTTGTCAAACAACTTTTGGTCAGTCAGCTGCAAACCCTATATCAAACCCTATCAGAGACCAAAAAACAGTACTGTAGGTTGCAAACAAGAAAAATCCATGGAGGCCAAAGGACCCTCGGTATAGTGAATGGATCCATCGGCCGTCTTGATGTTGAAGTGTCCATCCTCCAAGATACGCAAAGCGATGGACTGGTCCCCACGGCATGGATTCTGGAACCTCACATCCTCCAGGCACCGCCACGAGGACTCCTGCAGCACCGTGTCCAGGAGCAAAGCACCTGGCGACCAACCACAAGCTAATCACGCAAGAGGTGATATCACTGATACCCACACTAACAAAAGTGAACGTTAGAAACTAATGAAACTAAAGCTGCTCATTGAGGTGTGTCCCAAATTCCAAACCAACCCAAATCAACTCTAGACCAAGCACTATGCTCTGCCCTTAATGGAAGCCAGCCTGGGACCAAAGGCCTCCCGCTTCTCATGTGCTGGGCTAAAATGGGATGCTCGTTCTTGTCCAAAGAGAATTCCCTAAGTGATTCCACCAACGACCGCGTCTCAAGCGATTCCCCGCCGGCATCGGACTGACCGACTGACTCAGTCAGTTCACTGCTCAGGGTGGCTGACTGAGTGCTGGATTCCGTGGACACGCCCAGGGGCATCTCAATCCAGGCCGGCGCTCGGACGAAGCCTGGCGATGGTAGATGCTGGAGTAAAGGATCCGTTGGAGCCTTCGATGCGCTTGCGTAGCAAAGCTTGTTCCAATCGACATCAAGACCTTGCTCCCAAAGCTTGGCAAGAGCTTTCATGATGTCAAGCACCTCCTTCAAGGCCAGATTTAATCCAGTAACAAGAAGCTACTAGGAACAAAGGCCATCGCTACTAGGAACAAGAAGCTACATTCGTAGCTCCTGGCCATACTACTACTAGGAACTAAGGGCATCGATACTTGGAACAAGAAGCTACGTTCGTAGCTCCTGGCCATACTACCTAGTAACAAGAAGCTACTAGGAACTAAGGGCATCGCTACTAGGAACAAGAAACTACGTTCGTAGCTCCTGACCATACTACTACTAGGAACTAAGGGCATCGCTACTTGGAACAAGAAGCTACGTTCGTAGCTCCTGGCCATACTACTACTAACAAGAAGCTACTGAGAACTAAGGGCATCGCTACTAGGAACAAGA